TGAAAACGCGCTGCCTTGTGAAAAGGGCCCCACCGGGTTTGCCCAGAAAACATTCCCTGGTCCTTGCGGGGGGGGGTTGGGTTCCCTCTTCCATCAGGGGTGTGTGAGTGTGAATTGGGGGGGGGCTTAACTGGGAGGGCCTTGTGGCGACGGTGCCCCTTTGTCGCGGCAGGTGACCTTCGAGGACGTGGTGGTCTATTTCTCTCGGGAGGAATGGGAGCAGCTCCTGGCCTGGCAGTGGGACCTTTACCGGGCGGTGATGATGGAGAACTACGAAGCCCTTCTCTCCTTGGGTAAGGGGTTTGTGCGCCGAACTGCAGAGCCGGAGGGGACCCTCGGGATCATCCAGCCCATCCCCTGCCAAAGAGGCGCGGAGGGGGAATCAAACTCCCAACCTCTGGTCCTCCCGCCAGAGACCTCCTCGGCCGATGGAGCCACCAGGACTCTCCTAATTCCAGCTTCTAAAAGGTGTTCTTCCCCCCCCTGCCCCGCCCCCCCCGGCCACTGCCGCCCGCCTTGCAAGAGCCTTTGCCAGCTTCTGTCTCGTGACCCGTTATCCCCCAAGGTTCTCTCCTGTTCCTCCTCAACGTGGCCCCGCTCCGGCCAGCCGTCCGGGGAGAAGGAGGGTAACCGGAGCAAGCAGGCGGTTGGGTGTCTGGTGCTGCGCGGGAGTTGGCGGCCCCACGGCTGGAAGGAGAGAGAGATGACCCTGGCTCTTTGCTTCTCTGCCACAGGGTGCCTGCCTGAGAAGCCCGACATCATCCGCAGGATTGAGCAGCAGGAGGAGGTGTGGGTCGGAGAGCTTTGGAGGCCACGTCCGTGGAGCAAGCCGGAGGTCCCGTGGCCAGGTCGGTGGCTGGTGCCTTTCTTTCATTTAGCCCTTCCTTTGCCAAGCTCAAGGTCGGTGGTGTGTGTGCGTGTGTGTGCGGGTGTGCGGGTGTGCGCAGTGTTTGGAAAAATACTCTCCCCCCCTTCCCTGGGAAAGCTCTTGAGGGGAGGAGGGGAGCTCCCAGTTATGGACCGACTGGGAGCCTAGCATAGAGGGACTCCGTAAGAGGGGCTGGAGGCTTGGCCTGGCAGGGCTGTTGTCAGGAGGCTGCTGGTGCCTAGGACCCCTGTAAATCGGAAGCCGAAAGCAACAGCAACAGCCACCACGCCTGACCCTCCGGCCATCGAGTCGGTTGGCAGGATGATGCTGGGAGGAATGGGGGAGCTGAAAGGGAGAGGGGTGGGGCTGTTTGGGGATCCGTCACCCCCAGCAGGCAAACGCCGCTGCAGAGTGGAATCTGGACGGTGGGCGACAGGTGCGCCCAGGTGCGCCAGCTCCCTTTGGCCCGATGGGAGCAGGTGCCTCTTTGGCAGGCCGTAGAAGTTCTTGACGAGGCCAGAAAGGGTGGCCGGGGAGATCTGGCTGGCACAGGACGCCACCTTGGGTCCCCACAGGGGGGTGGGAGGTGAAGGAAGGCGGGAGAACCAACGAACCAGTAAAGGCAGTGTGTGCAAAAGGCTTGGAGCCCAAGACAGCGCTCAGGGCCCCTCTCCTCCCGGGAAAGCGTTTCTGGGCCTGGCCATGATGGTGGGGTCTTTTTTTCTGTTCTTCCCAGCAGGAGACGGGATTAGGATAGAGGACGAGGAACGCGGCAAACAGATACAGCCGGGGCAGCCGCGTGCCGGCAGGAGGGGTCCCCGGAGGAAAAAGGCCCGCCCTCCCAAGCGCGAAAGCAAGAGGGCAGGCCCAGCCCCGGTGAGTCCAGCTCTGTGGGGCAAGAGAAGAACGAAGGTCCACCCTTCTGAGGAAGGAGGCAAAGGGGCGGAAGCTGCCCGATGGGGGGCCGGCCAAGGCAAGAGAAAGGGGGAGGAGGAGGAGGAGGAGGAGGAGGCGGCGGCCCCCAGTCCCGCAACAGGGAAGGGAGGGTCTCGGGCCAGGAAGGTGGAGCCCCCGCCGCCTCCTCAAGGGAGGAGCCCCTCCGGGCCAGTCTCCCTGAAGAGGAACCCCCCCAAGTGCCCGGAGTGCGGGAAGAGCTTCCTCAGCAACGTGGCCATGACCATCCACATCCGGACCCACACGGGGGAGCGCCCCTTCCGGTGCCACCTCTGCCCCAAGGGCTTCCCCTCCATGGGGGACCTCAAGCGCCACCTCAAGACCCACCTGCGCCCGAAGGAGCCCCCGCCCCCCGCGGCGCCCAGGGGCAAGAAAAGCCTGGCGGCCAAGCGGCAGCTCCTGTGCCAGCTGCAGCCCCCGCCGGGCCCCAGGAAGCCCCACCCCTGCGCCGAGTGCGGGAAGAGCTTTGACACGAAGCACAGCCTGCAGAAGCACGAGGGGACCCACATGACGGAGCGGCCCTTCGCCTGCCTGGAGTGCGGGCGCCGCTTCCGGATCAAGCAGATCCTGGTGGCGCACATGAGCTCCCACATCACGGAGCGGGCCTTTGCCTGCAAGCAGTGCGGGAAGCGCTTCACCCAGAAGCAAAACGTGCAGAAGCACCAGCGCGTGCACACGGGCGAGAAGCCCTTCGGCTGCCTGGCGTGCGGGAGGCGCTTTGGCTCCAAGCAGTACCTGCTCAAGCACCTGCGGCTCCACACGGGCGAGCGGCCCTTCGCCTGCGCCGAGTGCGGCAAGACCTTCCGGGACAAGGCCACCCTGACCATCCACAACCGCATGCACACCGGGGAGCGCCCCTACCAATGCCCCTTCTGCCCCAAGACCTGCCGGCAGAAGCAGCACCTCAACAGCCACCTGAAGGTCCACCGTGGGGAGAAGCTGCCCCTGGAGGGGGGCCAGAAGGCCTGGGCCAAGGAGAAGCCCTACGGGTGTGGCCAGTGCGAGAGGCGCTTCCGGAACAAGAAGATCATGTTGGCTCACCAGAAGGTCCATGAGGAAGAGCAGCGGTCCGGGAGTAGCCCTCCGCCAAGCGGGGAGAGCCCAGCCCGGAGGGAAGCCACCTCCATCAGCAAAGGAGGAGGAGGAGGAGGAGGCGCCGTGAGGCAGCAGCCAAAGAACACTTCTCCGGGCCAAGCGGGAAAGGCCCCCATTGCCTGTGCCGACTGCGGACGGAAGTTCACTCAGAGGAAGTACCTGGTGCTTCACCAGCGGAGCCACCGATGAAGAGGCCAAGGTGGGCGATCCTTCGATGAGACCACGGACGGTTCACAAACAGAGGCTACCTTTCCACCCTTGACGCTTTACCTGACTGACACACACTTTGCAGGCACCCAAGTGTGGCTCACCTGGGGGGACACGGCCTGAACGGGAAGGCTGCGAGGCCTAGCCAGGCCCGGTTCCTTTTCCTGTTTGGGTAACAGCTGGGAGCTTCCCTTCTGAACAGGAAGTGAGGGGAAGCTAGGCCTAGCTCAGCCTCAAAGCCTTCCCGTTCAGGCCTTTTCTCCCGCCGTTAGTTGTCCGGAAGGATCCTGTTGGTCTGGGGAAGAAATCTCAAAATGGAGAATGATGGGACTTGTAGTCCAAGAAATCTGAACCTTCTTTCATCCCGAACTCCAGTCTGCACCAAAAGGGGTAGAATTTGAAACCTGACTTTCAAATTTGGAGCCCTCATTTTGAAACTTAACTTTCAACAGAAGATCTTGGCATGGATGCCTGGCCTTGATTTTGGGAGTTTTTATGTTTTGTTTCTGTTTGTTTGTTTCTTTTTCACACCCTCCCCAGTTGCCTGATCAGGACCTCTACAGGATTGAAATCCAAGTTTCTGTTCCTGATTTTTTTATTGCTGTACTAAAGGAATCACCCTTGCCTTTGGATGATGTACAAGGACCACATGGCTTTTCACCCCTCTTTTATTTTATTTTATAGATGATGGGGGGGGGAGAGAATGGGGGCTCAGTTTCCATCTGGAATGGGATCCAAAGGTTCCCATGGAAGGAAACCATGGATGAGAGCCCTGCTAAGTAGGTGGGGGAGAACCATGTGCCTTGAAAGTATTCTGTGCAGCCGCCCAGGGGGGGCTTCAGGAGAGCGTTGTTTGCACCGGAGCAAAAATAACTACCGTGGATATACTGTAATGTGCACAGACAGCGGCTTGGGCTCACAGAAGTGGCTAAGAGTTCTGCTCAAAAGGCCACTGGCCACCTTGCCACCACCACCACCACCACCCCCACCACCCCGATTAGGGCTTCATTCTGTGTGAAGAAGCACCGCCTGCTCCCAGTCCATCTGCTGGGGTGAGTCCAGCCGAGGGTCATGAGCTCACAGGGACTCCTCCCCAGAAGACTCTGGCCTCAGCCCGGCTGAGCTGCTGCAGGCAGATCTTTCTACGGGTGCGTGTCCGGTCCTTCCTGTGGTCTCTGTGCCACAAAATCCCAGCAGAGCCTGACCAAACACAGAACCACCACCAACCCACCCCAAAGCACCGGGACCCCCGTCGAGGCCAAAAGGTTTATGTGTTGTGTGAACTTTAGAGGGCAGGTCCTCTGAGCGGAGAGAGGCTGTGCCGTGTCTTTGATGCTTCTGATTTATCTCAGCCCTTCCTGGTTCCCCACCACACCACACGCGATGGGTTCAGTGGGGGTGAGCCAGAAAATTAGTGGATTCTGGGCAGGGAGGGAGGGAGTTGGGTGCCACAAAGGGAAATGCAGAGGACCGCGACATCAATCGGACACATTTTGGGTCACTTGGTTCAGGAGTGCGGGAGGGGCCCAAAGGCAGGGGAGGTGGGCCCAGGCCGCAACGCCTCCGAGGAGAGCTTGGCCCCAGGGCGATGACTGCAAACCTGCCCACGCCTTCTAAGCACTTCCCGGGAACTCTGCCAGGTCTCGCCCTCTGAGTACACCCCTCGGTGAAGGAGGTGTGGGTGGGACGTTTCAGTGCCCCTCCTTTGTCCAAAGAAGGCGAGAGAGGGACCCTGTTTTCCCCAAAATAAGACCCAATCTGAAAATAAGCCCTAGTAGGAATTTTCAGGATGCTCATCATATACGCCCTACCCCCAAAATAAGCCTGAGTTAAGTGAAACCCCACTTTCCACCCTTGTGCAACAACCAGAAGAAGGTGACACGACTGTAAAACAAAACATCCCCTGAAAATAAGCCCCAATGGGTTTTCTGGAGCAAAAATTAATATAAGGCCCTGCCTTATTTTCGGGGAAACGCGGTATGTTTCGTCCCACCGCGAGGCTGCACTCCACATGGCCCACTGAGCAGCCCCCTGCCCCGCTGCCCGGTGGATATCTTAGGCCTCCCGTGGCATGGATGGTTCTGCAGCCATGAGACAAACAGCTTTAGTGATTTTGGGACGGAGGTTGGGAAGAAGAATGAGTTGCCGACAACTGTTTTGTAAACTTAATAAAGAGGAATGGGAACTCCTTTTCCTCCTGGGATCAGGCTGGTAAGTGCATTTTGTGCGCGCGTGTGTGTGTGTGTGCGCGCCCGCAGTTAAAAACGCTGGGCATATCCCTGTGAGGCAGGCGCGGGGACCTCTCTGGTAAAGGTTTTTATGGCGCAGTTGCACTGCCTTGCAAATGGGCTTGTACAGGAGGTGGTTTTCCCGGCGGTGGACCCCTCTGTGGTGTGTTTCCCTCCTCCTGCTCCCATCCTTGCCTTCACCAGAGGTAAGGGATCCACTCCGGGTTGTGCCACGCCTGCCCTCGGGAGGGTTTGAAGGCGCCACCCTCAGTCCGGAAGCTCCCTGGGAGTCCAGAGGGACCCAATATTTCTGCCGAAGACCTTGAGCCCAAGCTGCCTGGTTGCCAGGGGCTGGCCTGGGCTCCAGAGTGACTCTTCCATCATCTTCTCTTGGGGGGGGGGAGTGTCCAGAGGAGGCTTTCATTGAGCAGTTCCTGGGCTTCATTGCACAAGCTTTTATTTTGGGGGGTGTGCAATGTGCTCATCCTCCTTGCCCTTAATGAGATTCCTATTTTCAGTCTATGAAGAACTTTTTGAATTCTGTCTGTTTTCCAGGCCATTCCTTGCACCTTCTTATCCACTCTCTGTACCACTGAAAGGGCCCGTTCACACGATATTGTCAGAGAGCAGCTGAGAGTTTGAGGGCTGAGTGTTTTCATTCTCAATAAATAATAACAATAGTAATAATAGCTGACCATGCCCTGACGTCCAATTTAATTTCCTTTATGCTATAGGATTTAGAAGAGTTGGACACCCAACGTAGTCTCTGGATTGAGAGAGAGGGAGGGAGGGAGGGAGTGTGTTGGAGCAACACTGACCGTTCTGGAGCGTGTGTGTTCAGAACAAACATCCTTTTCCCTGACCTCCTTCCGTGGAAAATAACAAAGCCAGGCTCTGGTGATGCGGCTGCTGTGTTATTTTATTAAATTGCAAAAGAAGGCTCGCCGGCTGTGCCGTGTGCGATGGTGTAGAGGAAGGGCTCAAGCAGCTCCGAGGGGAGGCGCACCGTCATGTCTCGCCTTGGCGGATGAGCTGCCCCACTCCAGCACATGGCAAGAGAGTGGGTGGGTTCTCTCCCTTGCCGGAGCATGCTTAGCGCTTGGAGAAGTCTCCACCTGGCCCGGAGAAGAAGGGGAAGAAGCAAAGAAGGCAAATGAGGTGGTAGGAAGTTGGAAAGACAGATTCGAGGGGGGTGTGCAGCCGGGCAAAGTCACCTTGGCTGCCAAAGAGTGAGGAGGGGAAACGCTGCCCTCCACCCTCGCTGATCTGCCCTCTGGGCGCAGGGCATTGGGCCTCCCGCCCCTCCATGTCATTTCGCCTGGAAGCTCTGTCCGGCAGAAGGACTCTTCCCTTCAGGCAGGAAACAGGATCCCTCGCTGGGAATATTTCGGAGGAAGCGCCCTCTCTCTCCCCATTTCAAGGGATCCCTCTTGAGCCCAGGTCTCCACCGGCGACCAAGGACGGCATTCCCACGGTTTGGTTTTGTGGCATTCCTTTGGGAGACTTTGCCAAGAGACCCGCCTCCCAGAGGCAGTGGCCACTGGCTGTCGGGCCCCCCCAAAGGCTCGGCGCCAAGGGGGTGGCCATTTGGTTTTGGTGCCTGGGAAAGCCGGGAGGTGGGGGCCACACGTGGGATCTGGCCCTTTTCGGTTTGGTGACTTAGTGAAAAGATGAGACAGCAGCGACGGGGGTAAAGGTCTCCCCAGGATCTCTCCTGAAAGTGAAACTGGGCTGGAGAACTGCCTGGAACAGGGGGGTGGGGCGAGTGATGGTCTTGCATGCAGAATTATTCAGGAGGGGGAAGGCCAACAGGGTGGGGGCCAATTGACAGGGATGCCCAGTGGCTGGAAAGCAGGGTGAGCTGTTGGCCTCCTGCCCTGAGGACGGGAGGGCTGTAGGGACCAACCCCGTGGCCCTGCTCTTCTGTGGTCTCTCAGCCCCCCCACTTCCCATTCCTGCCCCCCACCCCACGGCAGAGAGCACCCCCCGGCTCACTTTGGCAGCTGCTGCACTCGCAGCCGTGAATAACCGGCAACACCACCGGCTCTGTCTCTCCATCTTGGCACCGCAGGTTGAGGATGCGGACGGGGCTGACGGGGTCCAGGCGGTAACTGCAGCATTCGCACAACGTCTGGAGGTACGGCTCCTGCAAGAGTGAGCATGGGGCCCAATGAGCAGGTGGTGTGACGTTCAAGACTGTCTAGCCCCATATCACTGGCTCTGACTGTCAGCCGCAGCGTCTCTCCCCCCCCCCCCAAAACGGCATTCTGGCAGGATCCTTTCCGAGCCCCACCTGGAGATCCTCGGAGGTCTCCCAAGCCAGGGCCAGCTGAGCTCCGGAACCAGACGAGATTCTCTGGGGCAGGGAAGGCAGACCCCCACCCAGCCCCAAGACTGCCTGAGAGGCACCCAGAAGGTGGGGGGGGACCCCAGAGAGGGGAGACGCACGAGGAGGGGTCTTGGCCCTGCCCTGGCTTACCTCGGGGATGACGTTGGTGTGGGAGGCGCACCAGCCGCGGCAGTAGCTCACCTCCACCTCCGCCAGGAAGCAGGAGCCCTTGGTGATGTTGCGGCGCTCTGTGTAATGCCGGCAGTGGGGCGGCTCTTCTGCAGGGGGAGAGAGGAGGGCTGTTGGGGCCGTGCCCGCCTGGCCAACAGGCAGAAGGGGAGACGTGTACAAGCCCCCCTTCCCTCCCAGCGCAAGACCTCTGGGGGCTGAACAGATGGGTTTGGAGGCCAGAAGCTCCTCTCTCAGAATTACAGCTACAGTTAGGCCTCCTTCAGTCTCGAGAGACGATGGGAATGTGCTCTGAGTAGAGAGGTCTTGGAACAACGTCTGGTGTGGCTGAGAAGGCCAATTCGAGAGTGACAACAATCCCTTCCACACTGGAGACAAATCCAATCTGTCCCCTGCCCAGCTCCCTGGTTTTCCTGGTTTCGGGACTGCCTCTTGGCCTCGGCCTGCTGGACAAGGGTCTCTTCAAATTGGGAGAGGCCATGATGCACCGCCTGCCTCCAGGCTGACCGCTCAGAGGTCAAAGTGCTGGGGTCCATTCCTAAGGCCTTCAGATCTCCTTGTATCCCAGCTGTGGTCTCCCTCTGGGGCGCTTTCCCTGCTCTCATTATTCTCCATATAGGAGATCTTTTGGAATCTCTCAGAATGATACCAAGTGAAAGGACTGTTGATCCCAGGGCCAAGGTTTTGGGCTGAAATTTCGGAGGCAAAAATGTGGCAAAAATGATTTTATCGGTACAACTTTGGCTGGCTTTATCTGGGCAGACACCCCCCCCC